ACAAACCCTACTACGCCCAGCCAGATAGTAGACAGTATCATTAAACGTATATAAGCTTTATTCAGGTTGGCCAGCAATAAGGTGGGTACCAGTATACCGAGGATAATGATAAGTCCACCCATGGTAGGCGTTCCTTTTTTCTGCTGCTCGCCTGCCAGGCCCAGATCCCTCACAGTTTCGCCTACCTGCTTTTTAACCAGGAATTGAATAAGCCGCTTACCATACACCGAAGTAATGGCCAACGACAGCAGTATGGCCAGCAATACCCTGAATGTAATGAACTGGAACAATGCCCTGCCCGGCATTGCGATGCCCTGCTGTTTGAACCATTCAAATAAGTGGTATAGCATTTTATGGTTTGTTTCTGTTTAATATTACTGTGTTCGTCAGGCTGGTCTTACCTTCTGTACCAACCGGGTAATGCCTACTTGTTCAGCAGGATAAAAATCTTTTCCAGTTCCTCCTTGTCATCAAAATGGTGTTTCACCCCTTTGATGTCCTGGTATTTCTCGTGCCCTTTGCCGGCAATCAGCACTATATCATCCGGCTTGCTGAAACTGATGGCTGTTTTGATGGCTTCCCGCCTGTCTGCAATGGACACAGTTTTTCGTTTCGCGGCGGTATTCAAACCCTGTTCCATATCTTTTAATATCTGTGCCGGGTCTTCGCTGCGCGGATTGTCGGAGGTTAGTATCACCCTGTCGCTGTACCGGCAGGCTTCTGCAGCCATTACCGGGCGTTTGGTTTTGTCCCTGTCGCCACCGCAGCCTACCACGGTAATTATCTGTTCGTACCCTTTGCGCAATTTCTGTATGGTGGTCAGTACGTTTACCAGCGCATCGGGAGTATGCGCGTAATCAACAATGCCCATCACTTTTTCATTTGGCGATACCAGGTAGTCAAACCGTCCTTCTGCACCACTTAGTATGCTGAGGCAACGCAATACTTCATGCCTGTCTTCTTTCATACAAATAGCAGCCCCATATACCGCCAGCAGGTTATAGGCATTGAATTCGCCTATCATCCTGAAATGCACTTCCTGCTCATTCACCAGCATCACCAGTCCAGTTAAACTGTTCTCCAGGATCTTCCCTTTAAAATCAGCCATTGTTTTAAGGCTGTAGTAATACTTTGAAGAATGGGTATTCTGGAGCATCACAGCGCCTCTTTTATCGTCCAGGTTAGAAATGGCGAAAGCATCTGACGAAAGCGCATCAAAAAAGGATTTTTTAACCTTTATATATTCTTCAAACGTTTTGTGATAGTCAAGGTGGTCGTGCGTTATATTGCTGAATAAGGCACCTGTAAAATGCAGGCCTGCAATGCGGTGCTGGTGAATGGCGTGTGAACTGCATTCCATAAATACATGCGTGCAGCCTTCATCCAGCATCTGTCTTATCAGCTGGTTCAGCGTTACCTGGTCGGGCGTGGTGTGGGTAGCCGGCAGGATGGTATCGCCAATATGATTTTGTACCGTACTCAGCAAACCACATTTATATCCCAATGCTGTAAAGAGCTTGTGCAGTAAGGTGGCAATTGTGGTTTTACCATTGGTGCCCGTTACGCCCACCAGTTGCAGTTTTTCTGAAGCCTGCCCGTAAAAATTATGCGCCATATACCCGGCGGCGGCGGCACTGTTCTCTACCTGTACATAAGTAATAATGTCTTCCAGCGCTGATGGAAATTGTTCGCAGATAATTACAGTGGCCCCTTTTCCGATCGCGGTATCGATGTATTGATGGCCGTCTGCAGCAACCCCTGCAATGGCCACAAAGGCTGTCCCTTCACTCACCTTCCTGGAATCTGTCTGCACATCTTTTACAACGGCCTGGGTATTGCCATGCACAGAGCGGATACTCACTTTATATAATATGTCCTGCAATATTGCCATAGCCGTTTCTCCTAATTCAGTTCTATTTTTATTAATTGATTTTTATTAACTGCCGCCCCGGGCTCAACACTTTGCACAGCTACCCGTCCGCTGCCTTTTGCCATTACTTTCATATTCATGGTTTCCAGCAGGTACAAAGCATCTTTTAATCCCATTCCTTTTACATTGGGCATGGTATTCTTTGCTACATACCTGGTATGTACTACAGCTGTATTATTGCTGCTGTACATACTGCTCCAACCCTGGCTACCTGAGGAATCAACATAGGCTATGGACAGTGCATTCAATACCTGCTTCACCTCTTTTGTATCTCCTGCATAGTAAAATCCAGCGCTGTCTTTTTTCAATCCTGCGGCGGTCAGCGCCGGACTGGTATTTTTTACTGCAAACAGCTTGTCTGCAACTTCTTTAAACACCGGCGCCGATACCTGTCCGCCCATATGTACTTTGGGATGCGGTTTTGTTCTGATGACCACGATGCAGCTGTACTGCGGCTTTTCAAACGGGAAATAGCCTACATAAGAAGCCTGGTAAACCCCGTCATCATAACTAACACCCTTACCTGCCACGTGTGCCGTACCTGTTTTACCACCGGAACTGTACACTGCATCTTTAAAAACAATCCTGCCTGTTCCTTCCAGTGTTACGGCACGCATGCACTGCTGCGCTGCTTTTATCACACCTTCTTCTGCAATTTTCTCTTCTACAACTTCCGGTTCAAAGCTCTTCACCACACGGCCGTTGTCTTCAATGCGGTTTACCAGGTAAGGCTTCATCATTTTGCCGTTATTGGCAATAGCATTGTAAAGCATCAGTGTCTGCAACGGCGTTACTTCAATAGCGTATCCAAAACTCATGGTAACCATATCCATTAATCCGCCCCGGTTGCGCTTGATAGCCGGCAATACCGGCCGCTCTTCTCCCACCAGGTCAATACCGGAACGTGTGTCAAAGTGGTACTTATGCAGGTAACTCAAAAATTTGTCGGGTTGCGCCGCAAAGGTATTATAGGCTATCCTGCTCATGCCTACGTTGGAACTATGGGCAAAGCATTCTTTGATGGTTTCTACTGATTTTGGTTGTGCTTCTGCATCGGTAACCGTTCTCACCCCTACGTAATCGCTACCGGTACTGCCTACCTGTACCGGATCATTGATGGTGGCTTTTCCTTCGCTCAAAACAGACAGCAGGGTAGCCAGTTTCATGGTAGACCCCGGCTCTGTGGCACGCAATGCATAATTGTAATCTTCCCAATAGCCGCCATCCGGCCTTCTGCCCAGGTTGGCCAGGGCTTTTATTTTGCCGGTGGCTGTTTCCATAACAATACAGGTACCATGGTCAGCCTCGTTATCTATCATCATTTTCATCAGCGCGTTCTCTGCAATGTCCTGTGTGTTTACATCGATGGTGGTGATGATATCTTTACCGTTTTGTGGCTCTATCTCAGAACCTTCTACCGGAATGAATGCCCCGCCACTGATGAATCTTACCAGCCGCTGCCCTTTATCTCCCTTCAATAATGTATCATAAGTTCTTTCCAGCCCTACATTCTGGCTCACTACTTTTCCATCAGGGTTGATATAGTCTCTCGACAAACCGATGGTACGGTTGGCCAGCAAGCCAAAGGGATTGAGTCTTTTATTTTTTACTTCGGCGATAAATCCACTCTTGTTACGACCCTGGTTTACCAATGGAAATGTGCGCAGTGTTTTGTATTCCTCAAAAGTCAGATTCTTCCTTAGTTCATAATACCTGTTCTTTGCGCGGTAACCAGCCTGTAATTCTTTTTTATAGGCAGCTGCTTTTTTGTCTTTAAAAAATCCTGCCAATGCTATGCTCAATGAATCAACATAGGTAGTAAAGCGAATGCCCTTTTTTTCGCGCAAACCGTCTGCACCAAAATCAATATAGATATCAAAAAAAGGTACAGAAGTACTAAGCATATCGCCGTCTTCGCTGTAGATAGTGCCGCGTTCTGCCTGCATGGGCATCAGGCGGGTGTGTAAACTATCGCTTTTGCTGCGCCAGTAAGCTCCCTGGAACTGCTGTATATAAATAGCCCTGCCTAAAATGCACACGCTTAACACCACAATGCCGATAAAGCCAAGGTAAACCCTCCATAATATGTCTTTTTTTACTTCCAAGGGTGTGGTGATTGCTGATTTTGAGATTTATTGATTTTGAAATACCTGTCGACCTGTTCTTTTACTTCGCCATAACTACCGGCTAATGACTACTTCCCGTGCTGTCTTTCAATACCAGCGGTGGCTGCACCAGTTCTTTCAAACCAAGGGGCTCAACCGCTTTTGCCAGTTCGCTTTGTTTGCTGCGGAACATCACTTCGCTTTTCAGCGATTTATATTCATACTGCAGCTCTTTTAATTCTTTGCTGGTTCTGTTTATGTCTTTCACGGTATTATCAGAATAATGCCCGTTATAGATATAGACGACTGCCAGCAGGCTCAGGAAAAGGAAGTAAGGAATGTTCTTTACTATCCACTGGTAATTCAGCAGCCGCTTCCAGTCTTTCTTTGCTTCCTTTTGCTGCGTCGTTAACATGTATGGTGTCTGATTTTGAGATGTCTGATGTATATGTCCGGTTCAAATCATTTTTCACATTTCCCGTATTCACCACAATATCACATTGTTCAAATTTTCTCCGCTACCCGTAACTTGGCACTTCTCGATCTTGGGTTGCGCTTCATTTCTTCTGCTGATGCGGTGATTGGTTTTTTGGTAATAATTTTTAATTCACTTACAGATACGGCATTTTCAAAAGGGTGATCTTCTGGTTCAGCAAAAGTGCCCTTCCGGAAAAAATTCTTTACTAACCTGTCTTCCAGTGAATGAAATGTAATGATAGCCACACGGCCGCCGGGTTTCAGGAGATTTGGTACCTGCTCAAGCAGTTCGCGCAGCACACCCAATTCGTTGTTTACTTCAATGCGCAATGCCTGGAATACCTGGGCAAAATACTTGTTGGGATTTCCTTTAACTACTGTATGCAGGGCTGCTTTAAAATTGCTGATGGTCTTTAGTGAGGTGGATGCACGCACGGCCACGATGGTGCGGGCCAGGGTTTTTGCATTGGTTACCTCTCCATACTGTTCAAACAAAGTGTGCAGCTGCAGTTCAGTATAGGTGTTTACCACTTCAAAGGCAGTAAGTGCCTGCCGCCTGTCCATCCGCATGTCCAGCTCCGCATCAAAGCGGGTAGAAAAGCCCCTTTCTGCCTCATCAAACTGATGACTGCTGACGCCCAGGTCGGCCATAATGCCGTCTACCAAAGCTGTCTTATGCAGGCGCATGAATCGCTGCAGGTGCCTGAAATTATTGGGCACGAAAGTTACGCGGTCGTCAGCGGGCACATTTTTGGCTGCATCTGCATCCTGGTCGAAAACAAACAGCCTGCCATCTGCATTGAGTTGCTGCAGCAAAGCTTTTGCATGACCTCCACCGCCGAATGTACAATCCACGTATATGCCGCCGGGCTGTATCGCCAAACCATCCAATGTTTCGCGAAGCAGCACAGGCACATGATACCCACCTGAAAAACTATCTGTGAGGGCTATGTCATTTTTATTGTCCATAACCTCAAGGCGTGTTTTTCTTCGTCATCACTTTGTTGTACAAAGAGCTGTAGGCAACAGGCGTTAAAGAATCAAAGAACTGGTGGTACTTACTTTTATCCCAGATTTCTATTCGTTTTTTTGAGCACGACAACACTACATCTTTGGTTAAACCGGCATAATCTTTCAGGTTAGCCGGCAAAAGGAGGCGGTTAGCTGAATCTAATTCTGCGGTAGCCACCCCATAGTTGAAATACTTTTTTAACTTGCGGTTGTCGTCGTCATGGTCTGGCAGGTCTTCAATTTCTGAAGACACTACCATCCAGTTTTGCATGGGGTACAGGTGTAGACAATCGTCAAACCCCCTGTTGATAACAAAATTGGTAGCAGCCCCCTCCGGCAACTGGCTAAGCAGTTTAGCGGGGAGCAGGAAGCGACCTTTGGCGTCCAGCGTAACTTCGTATTCGCCAAGAAAATGAATCATTTAGGAAAATTTGTACCGATTTTGACATTTATTGACACAAAATAACACATTTTCACACTTAGGATTTGAATTTGGAGAAATTTAATTTTTCCACAGCCTGATTTTGAGCCAGATATGAGCGCTGGCAAGGGTTACAGCCACAAAAACTGCCAAACACCCGTTAGCTGCTGTGAATAGACTGTGCAAAACGGTGGATAACCTGTGAAACTGGGTCAAAAAATGTGGATGACAGCTTTACATAAACAAATTCAACATGGCTGATGCTGGCTATTCAGGCACCCCCCTGATAAAGAAACTGGGCATAAAACATAACACGAAGCTGCTGCTGGTGAATGCACCTGAGAATTATTTCACCCTGCTGGATCAGGATATTAGCACCCAGCTTTGTAAGAAAAAGGATTTGCCGCAACTGGTGCATGTTTTTGTAACAGGTAAGAAAATATTTGAAAAGGAAATGGCGCTGCTTACACCGCTATGGAAGAAAAATACCTCGCTTGTAATATGGGTAAGCTGGTACAAAAAGAGTGCAGGCATGGGCAGTGATATGACGGAAGACATTATCAGGAACTACGCGCTGGCCAACGGGCTGGTAGATGTAAAAGTGTGCGCTGTAAGTGAATTGTGGAGTGGTTTAAAGCTGGTGGTGCCGGTGGTACTAAGGGCAAAAGAAGAAAAAGGGGCCTAAGCGCTCAAAAGGTAAAACGAGGATTTTTTCGCACAGCACAGGCGGAGAAAAAGAGTTGAAACAAAAATTGCTGCAAATACCATCATACTATTAAAACCATTTTTCAGATTTTCTAACATAAACTACAGCAGTTGGCTGTAACTATTATGAACCCAAGAGATATTTCTATTAACGATTACACCTACACGTTACCAGAAGAAAAAATTGCCCGCTATCCCCTGCCCGAAAGAGATGCTTCCAAACTGCTTGTTTACAAGGAAGGAGATAGTACCACAGACACCTATCGTAATATAGATAATTACCTGCCACCGCACAGCCTGCTGGTGTTTAACAATACCCGTGTGATAGAGGCAAGGCTGCTGTTTCAGAAACCAAGTGGCGGCAGCATTGAGGTATTCTGCCTGGAGCCTGGTGACCAATACCCTGATATTACTACCGGCATGCTGCAACAGGGCCATATAACATGGAAATGCCTGATTGGCGGCGCCAGTAAATGGAAGGCAGGACAGGTATTGCAAAAGACAATACCCTGTAAAGAGAACCTTATTATCCTGGAAGCCAGGTACAGGGCCAAACAAAGCGATTGTTTCATTATAGATCTCCAATGGAATCCCGGCCATTTATCTTTTGCGGAAGTGCTGCACCATGCAGGCATTATTCCTTTGCCGCCTTATATAAAACGCGTACCGGAAACCGCCGATAAAGAAAGGTACCAAACTGTATATGCGCTGCAGGATGGATCTGTGGCCGCACCCACTGCCGGACTGCATTTTACCCCCCGCCATATTTGCTAAACTGGAGAAAAAAAATATCCATCATTCTTTTGCAACACTGCATGTGGGTGCCGGCACGTTTAAACCTGTGAAGAGTGCTACTATGCAGGAGCATGAAATGCATGCTGAGTTTATTGACGTACCGCGCGAACTGATTACACAGTTAATAAAATTTTCCCCTTCGGTATATGCCGTGGGCACTACTTCGGCGCGCACACTGGAAAGCCTTTACTGGATGGGTGTAAAAACCATCCTGGACCCTGCTGTCGCCGGGGATCAGCTACCCCTGGGCCAATGGGAAGTGTATGATCAGCTGCAGCAAAAACACTACAGTACCGCTGAAGCGCTTGAAAGCTTGTTGCAATGGATGGATAAACAACGGCTGCATCGCCTGCTCAGCAAAACACAAATACTGATTGCGCCAGGGTACCATTTCAAAATAATAAAGGGATTGATCACTAATTTTCACCAGCCGCAGTCTACCCTTCTCTTATTGGTAGCGGCATTAATTGGCAGCAGCTGGAAAGAGGTATACCAGCATGCGCTGGAAAATGATTTCAGGTTTTTGAGTTATGGAGACGGGTGCCTGCTGGAGAAATGTGAAAATATGCAAATATGAAACTGTGATAACTGGGGATTGGTTGATCTGTTGATTGGCAGAAAAAAAAATAAATATGCGAATGCATAAGGATTGAGAATGAAATAAATCAGAAATCATCAAATCAGACATCGGACATCCTGCTTCTATTTGCTCTCCATCAGCGGCATATCAATAATAAAACTGGTCCCCTTGCCGGTGGCGCTTTCTACCTTAATTTTTCCGCCGTGTGCATCTACCATGGTTTTTACGTAGCTGAGGCCCAGGCCAAAGCCTTTTACATTATGCACATTACCGGTATGGGCCCGGTAGAATTTTTCAAATATTCTTTTCTGGGTTTCTTTGTTCATACCAATGCCATTGTCTTCTATACGCACCTGTATATGCCTGCCGGTATTGATCGTACTGATTTTAATAACCAGGTTATCTTTTGAATATTTAACAGCATTGTCTACCAGGTTAGAAATAAGATTGGTAAAATGTACTTCATCGCCTTCTATCAGGTCGGCCCCTGCATTCAGGTGCAGCACAGTCTTGCCATTTTTATCTTCCAGCTGCAGGTGAAAATTCTCCAGCACATGATCAATTACTTCATGTACATGGATGGGCACTTTGTTCAGCTGTATCTCCTGCCGCTCCATCAGCGAGGCCTGCAGAATGGTTTCTACCTGCTTGTTCATCCGCCTGTTTTCTTCCTTTATAATGCTGCTGAAATAGCCCATTTTCTCCCGGTCCTGCAGCACCTTTTCATTACGCATGGCATCTACTGCCAGTGAAATAGTGGCCAGTGGTGTTTTAAACTCATGCGTCATATTGTTGATGAAATCGTTTTTGATTTCACTGGTTTTTTTCTGCCGCAGCAAGGCGCTTACGGTAACATAAAAAGCAGAACAAATAATCAGGGTAAAGAGTATGGCACCGATCATTAACCATCGCAGCTGGCGGAAAATACTTTTCTTAATATCCGGCACCACCAGTATCATGGTTTCTTCGGGCATCAGGTTTTCATATTCGCTGCCGCTGGGCACCTGCAATGGGTATATAAACTCCTTGTTGTTGATAGTGTCTGCAATTACCTTAATCAGGTTGTCTGATTTCAGTTCATAGGTATTGAGTCCGATGGTGGAAGAAATAGCAAATTCAAAATGGGTGTCTTTTATACCATTCTCTTCAAAAGCTTTTTTTAACTTTTCTTCGATGGCAAAACTGGTATAGTTTTTTGCGATGGTAGAAGGCTTCAGCAGTTCATTGAGCAACTGGTCGCTGGGCATCATAAATCCGGGCCGGAACTTGGGATTTTTAAGACTGGGCAGGGTACCTTTCTGCTCCATCAGGTCGTTACCCACGGTCACCATCGACCTGTATATTTTCTCATACATCTGTTCTTCTTTTACTACCAGCATATTTTTAATCCAGGACACCTGAATGGCAATAATGCCCAGTAGTGAAGCGGTGATCAGTAAGATAATAACAGGTAGAATTTTCTTCATTAGCACAAAAATAGTGGAGCGGAACGGCTTTTGGGGAAAACTCTTATAATGCACCCTTTTTTTAACTAAGGTTTTGCACCCCCCGGGCAACCCTCCCTAAACCCGCAATAAAGATTTTTATTTGCCAATATAATAAGTAATTTAGAATTAATGATACAGCCCGGACCAGGCATATTATTGATCGCAGATCCCTTTCTGAAAGATCCGAATTTCAAGCGGACCGTGGTTTTTTTATGCGAACACCAGGAAGAGGGCAGTTTTGGCTTTGTGCTCAACCGTTTATATGATTATAAACTGAACCAGCTGGTAAACAGCGCAGATGATCTTACATTGCCGGTGTACTATGGCGGACCGGTGCAAATGGACACCATTCATTTTCTTCACCAGTACCCCGAACAAATACCGGGCGGCACGGAAGTGCTGAAAGGCATCTATTGGGGGGGAGATTTTGACCTGGCATTGCAGATGCTGCGCAGCGGCGAAGCAGATCTTAACCATATCCGCTTCTTTATTGGCTATAGCGGATGGGGGGAGGGCCAATTAAAGGATGAGTTAAAAGAAAAATCCTGGCTGCTGGCAAAAGCTACCCGAAAAATTGCTTTTCACCAGGAGATTACTGAAATATGGAAAGACGCAATCCGCCTGCTGGGCGGAGATTACGAGATGCTGATTAATTTCCCGATTGATCCGCAGTTGAATTAAATACCCCCCGCCCCCCTGAAGGGGGAGCTCTCCGCAAGACTGATTCTCTTTACCAGCTGGCTTTTCTCAAAAGTCCCTCTGCCCATTCATCATAAAGAAATACTATTTGAAATAAGAGGCCGTTTAATAAACATGCGTAGTTACTTACTGTTGTATTTGCTGTTTTTTTTCGCTTGCAAAGAGGCTGAAAAACGGACAGCATCGTTTGATTTCTACCCTCGTACAGCAGATTCACTAAGGATAAAGATGCTGCAGCCTGAAATAAATGCTGCTGCCTTATTTAACCTGCCGGTTATTTACAAAGGCGTTGACTCGCTGGAAATAAGAATACAATACTGGGATGTTTTCGGGTTGGGATTTAATCTCTATGTATTGAGAGCCGACAGCTTGGGTTGGAAAGGTTTTCATTACAATTCCTACACCCTGTTCCATAGAAAGAATGACGGCACACAGGTGGTATACGGAGACAGGTATCATATTGGTGATTCTGTATTTATGGCAAAAGCATTTACCCCTTTATGCGGCTGGGAAAGATTTACGGACACCCTTGGTTCCTTTAAACTTACTCAATTACCTACTCAACAGCTGATTAAAAATTTTACTCCTATACGGATGATGGATGGCGATGGATACACAATAGAAATTGCAACTCCAAATTCTTACCGGCATCTTATCTATGCTACTCCCGAATTGTATGAATATGAGGAATGTAAAACCATATCACTATTTATTGCCTTTTTAAGGCGCCAGATGGGAAAGAATTATGGCTGGCCAGAAAACCTTCCATCCAATAAAAAATAAACCCCGGAAATACCGGGGCTTATAAAGTTTACTATTTGTGATAAGTCTTGCAGAAAGGCTCGCCTCGCCATCGCAGGTGGAGAGCGGCTGGTGGTGAGGTCAATTCAACGGAAAACTAATGCCCGCTCTTGCAGTAATATTGTCAAGATTGCTGAGGCCATTATAATTAAACGGCATGTAATTATACCCCGCACTTAAACTAAATCCTGCGCCTGTGCCTTTCCTGAACGGCACAAATACACCCGCCTCGGGCCGCGCGGCAAATCCAAATTTTGTTTTGGCATCATTGCTGAATTCTCCCGCATACTGGTCATAGGTGATAATATTGCCACCGGTAGCCAGCGCTACAAATGGTTGTATCATTCTATTGGGCATCAGATTATACTGTGCCTTCAGCAAGATGGGCGCAGTTTGCACCGAATTGGATACCACGGCAGATAAATCGCCTCCGTCTGCTGTCTTGTACAGCTGCCGTGGATATTTTTGGTAAAATGCCTGCGAGCCTGTTTCTATTCCCACTGAAAATTTTGGATTGATATGGTACATCAATTCTGCCCCAAACCCTTTGAAAGATGTATTGCTGATAAGCTCTTTATACCCGCCCACCGGGGCAGCTACGGAGTAATTTATTTTTAATGTAAGGCCATTCTCCTGGGCAATAGCTCCCACGCTTACAAGCAGCCCCAGCGCCATGGCGATATATTTTATCTTTTTCATATACTTAATTTTTACTGGTCAATTATTATTGATTTGTTTTCAGGTAGGCAGACTGGCTGAACAAAGCCTGTACACTGGTACCAATACTGGCATCATTGAAGATACCTTCTCCCCGCACTACGCCATTCCATACAGATTTGATCCGCGTATTGGCAGATGCATCCTTGAGGTCAAACATATCTATCGAAATCACCCCTTCGTTCACCTGGTAGGTTCCTATATAAGACCCATAATACCCATAGCCGGGGTAACCCCAGTAATAAGGATCCCAGTAACCGTAATAATCATTGTAATAATTGCCATAGTCAACATAACCTGTATAGCTGTTGATGATATTGTTGACATTGATACCCAGATCGGGATTTTGATTATTGGCCACCTGCGTAAAGCCCCTTTGAACCATGGCGTCTTTGATGGCTGCTATCATAAGCGAATCATACGCGTCGTGTGTTTTCTCGCGCAGTTTTCCGTTGCTGATAATAGCCACCGAGTCTGCAATACTGAATGTTTTAAAGGAAGAAAAACTCACCGTACTATCATGATTGGTGATATAAATACGGGTTTCTTCCGGAGAGAGTTTTGTTACAGGATCTTTGGTACAGCTGCCAAGCAACACAATGGCTGCAAAAGCGGCAGCAACCAGCACATACTTTTTCATAATAATTGTTTTTATATTGTACATACGTAACAGACCCTCAAAGAAGATACCTGTTTAATGTATTTGACAGGAAGTTAACAGTGGTGTAACAATTGCAAAGAGCTTGTTTATCACCAGATTAAAACTGAATTAATAGCAGGTGATTACGACAGCTGCATTAAACAAAACGTTCTTTACGTTGTATTTGGCGGGGCGTAGGTGCCGCAATCCAGATCAGGTCATATCAAATCGCCCAGGAGATGCCTGTGCAGACTAGAACACAAAGGCGAACAAAAACCTTTTGTACGACTCGCCGTCATCAGTGCCGAAATCATGAATGCGTTAGCAACCACCGAATCCCGCATTATGATAGTATATATAAATTATTGATTTCGTGGCGGAGACATCGGCGGTGAAGCGTTAGCCAAAGCGGTCTGACCTTCGGTACCTACCGCAGCAGCCAAACACACTGAATGAAAGTGCATAAAAAACCCCGCCGAAGCGGGGTCAATAATTTTCCAAATATAGTGGACTACAAATCAGAACATTGAACCTTAGATTACGATATCACGGATTTTGAAAGGATTTGAACGCGGATTTTCAAGGCAATTACTTTATCCTGTTCAGACAGCTGCATCCAGTGACACAGCGCCTTCAACCAGTACCGTTACTTTATTATTCAGTACTTCCACAAAACCACTCTGAATGTTGAAGTTGGAAACACTTTTCATTGATTTGTCTTTCAGCACTTTTAAATTACCGGCTTTCAGCGCACTCACCAATGGTGCGTGTTTGTCCAGCACTTCAAAGCTGCCGCCAATACCGGGCAGCTGTACACCATAAACGGTGTCGCTGAATAACTTTTTTACGGGTGTGAGAATTTCAAGTTCCATATCTCTTGCCCTTGTGGGGACTTTTACTTTTAAGGCGATGATAGAATTCCTGCTGTACAAGAGTGCGACGCAACGATGCTACATTGTAAAACAAACGCCCATCCCACCATTACAAACCTCTTGAAGAACCAATCTTATTAATTTCAACGGTGCCAAACTCCCCTTCAGGGGTTGGGGTTGCGTACTATTTCGCCGCCGCCTGCAATTTCTTACCCTTTTCAATAGCATCTTCAATGGTACCTACCAGGTTGAAAGCTGCTTCAGGATATTCATCCACTTCTCCATCCATAATCATATTGAAACCGCGGATGGTATCTTCCAGGCTTACAAACACCCCTTTCAAACCGGTGAACTGCTCAGCCACATGGAAGGGCTGGGAAAGGAAACGCTGTACACGGCGTGCACGCGATACTGTTAATTTATCTTCGTCGCTCAACTCATCCATACCAAGGATGGCGATGATATCCTGCAATTCTTTATAACGCTGTAAAATTAATTTAACACGGTTGGCGGTGTTGTAGTGTGCATCCCCTACAATGAAAGGCGTAAGGATACGTGAAGTAGAATCCAAAGGATCCACCGCAGGATAGATACCTAAATCCGCAATCTTACGGCTCAACACCGTGGTGGCATCAAGGTGGGCAAATGTTGTAGCAGGCGCCGGATCGGTTAAGTCATCTGCAGGTACATATACCGCCTGAACAGAGGTAATGGAACCGTTACGGGTAGAAGTAATACGCTCCTGCATTAATCCCATCTCGGTGGCCAGTGTTGGCTGGTAACCCACCGCACTTGGCATACGTCCCAACAGGGCCGATACCTCAGAACCTGCCTGGGTGAAACGGAAGATATTGTCTACGAAAAACAGGATGTCTTTACCTTTTCCCTGGCCATCTCCATCACGGAAATATTCAGCAATGGTCAAACCGCTCAACGCCACGCGTGCACGTGCTCCCGGGGGTTCATTCATCTGTCCGAATACAAAGGTTGCTTTGGAATCTTTCAGTCCTTCCATATCCACTTTCTCCAGGTCCCAGCCACCTTCTTCCATGCTGTGTTTGAAATTGTCGCCGTATTTCATGATGCCTGCTTCAATCATCTCACGCATCAGGTCATTTCCTTCGCGGGTACGCTCACCCACACCGGCAAATACTGACAGACCACCATGACC